AAGTAGTCTAAGAACCCTACGCGATCTCTGATATCACATCTCCATCCACCAGAAGCCCCAGGTGCATAACAACATCCTCAAGTGTAATCGTGCACTCTCCGCACGGAAGATGGAATGTGTGGGTCTCCTGTGTCCACCGCTCTACTAAGGCAGAAATAAGGTATGGTTCTATCTTACAGTGACCCTGATATCTACCTATGTAACCAAATCCAGCCTTTACTAAATACAACAAAACATGGCTAAGTATCACTAACTTAAGGTTCCTAATAAAAGGATCTAATACATGGTCATTCTCCTAAAATTAAATAATTACAAAAATTAATTCTTAATCTAATAATCATGCATTAAATAAATCAACAAATTATTACTAATAATTTAAAATAAATTAAAACGTTAAAACGTTACCGTATCAGCAAAGTGTCGAGGTATATGATTTTCATCCAAGCGAAGTAGACCGCCTTCCATTATATATCTGCAAAAAAAATTATACAAGTAAAATATTAAATAAATTAAATACTTAAATAAATTAAATACAGAATATCAAAAATATAATAAAATATACCTCAAACATAGAATATAAGAGTATTTGAGAGAAGTTGAGAGAAATTGAGAGAATTTGGTGTGATGAAAGTGATTGAGGATGGGGTATTTATAGGGAGGGATTTGGGTGTGAAGTGTCGGGGTAGGTGGGTAATTAAACCTAAGGTGCGCCACAGGGGGGGCGCCTTACTGACGCGTGGCAGATTCACAGGTAAGGCGCGGCTCTGCGCTATACCCTACATGGCCTAAGGCGCGCCCCAGGGGCCGCACTATACACACGTGTATCCCATGTGCCTTACCCCACGTGGCGTCAAATCAGCATTAAACGCACTGTAAGGGGTGCGCCTTTCTACAAAGGGTGTTAGATCGAGAAATATAGTCTGAACGGTGCCTGATCGGGAATATTAAATGGAAAAGGTGATTTTTTGGGATATACGCTTAAACAAGACGCTTCCTTAAAAGAGCCTTTTAAAAGGTTTTTTTTATCAAAGGGTAAATTACAAATTTACCTACTGAACTTTACTCTTTATTCTATTTCACTCACTATACTTTTAATTTTTCAATTTAATCACTGAACTTTGATATTGCTCCTATTTTGGTCACTCATCCGTTGAATAATTAATGTCATTATGACATGACACATGACATCAAAACAACATCGTTTTAAAAAAATAAATTTCTACCAAAACAATGTCATTTTATATCTATATAAAAACCCAAATTTTCCATTATTTTCCTTTATTCTTTTCTTCTTTTTCTTTTTATTCATCTCATTTTCTCTCAACCTGCTCGAATTCCAATCACCGTTTATCGCGATCGATCACTGCGTTTGCCACTGTCGATCGTTATTAATAGTGGCCAATAAATCCCAAAATTCTTTTATCAAACAAGTTTCATCATCTTGAAAGCAAATATGGTGTCCATTTAACCTAAAGAGAAAATCGCCTCAGTGACCAAAAAAAGTTATAATATACGATTTTAACCAACTTTTTTTGGATTTGCCAAAATGACCAACAAAATCGCAACGCGAAATAAAAATCGCAACGCGATCCCCAGAATCGCAAATCAGTTTCCAGAATCGCAACGCGATTCTTGAAAATCGCGATGCGATAGTACAAATTCGCATTGCGATTTTCCATAATCGCAACGCGAATATGAAAATCGCAACGCGAACACATAAATCGCAACGCGTATCCGTAAATCGCAACGTGTATCCGTAAATCGCAACGCGTATGGGTAAATCGCAATGCGTATCCGTATATCGCAACGCGTATCCGTAAATCGCAACGCGTATCCGTAAACCGCAACGTGTATCCGTAAATCGCAACGCGTATCCGTAAATCGCAATGCGTATCCGTAAATCGCAACGCGTATCCGTAAATCGCAACGATAATCCGTAAATCGCAACGCGTATCCGTAAATCGCAACGATAATCCGTAAATCGCAACGAGAATCTGTAAATCGCAACGATAATCCGTAAATCGCAACGAGAATCTGTAAATCACAACACTGAAATTTTGGGTATATAACACTGAAATCATAAACTAAATCCCTAAATCGCAACTCATTCCATCTCCATCTATCACTCTCTCCGGCGACATCCGTTCCTATATCCAACGACATCCTTCCCCATCCGGCAACAGGTCTTAGTTTCGCATCTCGTTTGTTTAGTTACAACCATGAAATCATCTAATGTTGATCATGTTTGGATAGATTTGTGTTTTGGAGGGTCATGGGATAATGTTAATGGTGTTTTACAATATATGCCTTTACCCATAAATCTTCAACTAAAATTGTCTTTACAAAAGTTAACTTATGAAACTCTAATGCTACGTGTTTCAAATAAATTGAATTTAGAGCCCCTAAGTGGATTTAGGCTATCTTATCAGAGAAATGGTAAAGTTTATTTGTTAACCGACAATGAAGATGTTGAACGATTCATTGCTTACCTAAAAAGCCGGCATACACAAGTAGTAGAAGGCATACTCGGACAACATCGACGTCTTCCATCCGAGTGAAACCAGCTTTCTTATTAAATAATTTCTTCAGGTCGTCGACATGTAGGTTCGGCTTCTCCATTGACTCATCCGGAAAAACCCGGGATAACCATGATGGGCGGGCGATATGACGAGTGTACCGGCCTACATCATCGTGTCCGAATCGTAGACCAGTGATTAAGCAGAACTCCTTCCGCCCAAAGCAAGTATACGCTGGTGGAAAATGAAACCATATCTCTTCCTCACCACGTTGTATACTGTCGGGTAGATTTGATGTCATGGTCTGAAGCCACAAATGGGTCAAATTAGCATCTCCACCCGGATGCTGTACTCTCAGCCATGGCCCGAAGCAGGTTTCCTCAAACAATTGTCTTTGAGCAGGTGAAAGCTTCTTTGCAATTGTAGTGGCCAGGCTGACTTTATTTCTCAAGGTCAATTGAGCCGAAAAAAATTTCTACAAAAACAATAAACATACCAAGTTAGATATACCAAAAACTACACTGTGAAGATATACCAAAAACAATAAACATAAAAAGTAGTAGTTTATTCTTTAAACTAAAATTTGCAACACTGTTTTGTCTTTTGGTTGAAATGAAAATCGCAACGAGAGAATCGCAACGCGAGATGACAATCGCAACGAGAGAATCGCAACGCGAAATGAAAATCGCAACGAGAGAATCGCAACGCGAAATGAAAATCGCAATGCGATTTTGGTTTCGCGTTGCGATTCTCTCGTTGCGATTTCCATTTCGCGTTGCGATTCTCTCGTTGCGACAGTCATTCTCTCGTTGCGATTTTCATTTATCTCGTTGCGACTCTTCTGCAAATTGAAACTTGAATGGATTGCATTACTTCAACCAAAAGACAGAACAAAGACAAAGACAAATACTAACTTGAAAATCGCAACGACGAGAATAGCAACGCGAAATGAAAATCGCAACGACAGAATCGTAACGCGAAATGAAATCTAAGTGAAATGGTTAATCTATTATTGAAATGACCAGTAAACTTATCATCAGTTTCAATATGAAAAACCTACAATAATGCAAACATTTCAAAATAAAAATAATTAAAAAAACTAACCCTCGGAGGTTGATTTTCCATTTCTGAATATGTGAGGGATTTCTGACCGTGAATGGTTGTGAGGGATTTCGCCGGAGATGGGGACGGAAATCTTCGGAGATGGGGACGGATTTCTTCGCCGTAGAGAGTGAGAGATGGAGATGGGACTGAGTTGTGATTTTAGGTTTTAGGTTATGAGTTGCGATTACGGGATTTTGTCTTAATATTCTTTTTGTAATTTGAAAATAAAATACGCGTAGCGATTATAATGGCGCTTTAAATATCGCGTTGCGATTTACGGATACGCGTTGCGATTTTATGTATTATCATTGCGATTTACGGATACGCGTTGCGATATACGGATACGCATTGCGATTTACCCATACGCGTTGCGATTTACGGATACACGTTGCGATTTACGGATACGCGTTGCGATTTATGTGTTCGCGTTGCGATTTTCATATTCGCGTTGCGATTTTGGAAAATCGCAATGCGAATTTGTACTATCGCATCGCGATTTTCAAGAATCGCGTTGCGATTTTGGAAACTGATTTGCGATTCTGGAAACTGATTTGCGATTCTGGGGATCGCGTTGCGATTTTTATTTCGCGTTGCGATTTTGTTGGTCATTTTGGCAAATCCAAAAAAAGTTGGTTAAAATCGTATATTATAACTTTTTTTTGGTCACTGAGGCGATTTTCTCTAACCTAAAATCCCCTTAAACTTCATGGATCTAGCATTGAATGCTTTGATTTTTTATTCTTTAGTCTTTGTCGTTCATCGTTGAACTGCTATTCTCACTTTTACACATACATTACGTCCCCTCTTCTTCTCTATTCTCAGCTTTGCCTTGATTTGCTTTACTACATTTTTGCTTTGCTCTGCTATAAGAAACTCCAAGCTCTCATCAATGGCAGATCCATCAACTATATCTTCAGTTACTCTATTGAAAGGCGAGTTCGACATCATGAAGATGATGTTTAGAAAGGGTGTTTTTCGATGACAAGAAATAGTGGTAGTGAAAGTTTCAATTGAAGATAAACGATGGTGGTGGGAGGGTGAGACGACAGGAGTGAGAGCTTGAAGGTGAGGTTGTAATCTAGGATTATAGTTTAAGAGTTTTTAAGAACTTTTTTTAAATATTACATGTCATAATTAAATATATATATATAATAAGCCACGTCATCAGGTTATTTGTAAAAAAACCCGATAAATTATAAAAAAAAATTAATGTTTAAAGTTTAGTGAGAGTACACTTTAGGTAAATAATTTTATTTGAGTGTTACTTTAATAAAAATTTGGAAAAAATATTTTAATAAAATTGCCTCTAAAATCGACATTTTCATTCGATACTGATTTTCCCTTAAGCTGATTCAATCAAAAAGCTTTCACCCTTTCTGCAACGTTTTCTTCTTCTTCTCGTCTCTCTCAAAAGCTTCCCCCTTTTCTCACTCTTTAAAGTCCATAACCGCTCAACAAAAGCAAACTCAGTTTTTTATTCTCACTTTCCAAACACAACCGATTTTTTTTTACTCCCCATAACAAAGAAGTTCTCCCAACACCATGCTTTCAAGAGTTAATGGCGGTACTTGGATGGAAGGTAAAGAAGATGAAGACTCAGCTTCATGGAACCAAGCCAACAACAACAACAGTGATGCTATAATGGAGAACAAAGATGAGATGTGGTCTTTATCTGCTTTCAAATCCATGTTAGATGATGAATGGTTCATAGGAAACAACACTATTTCAAGCCATCAAGATATTAGAGACCTTTCGTTTACTGCAAATCTTGGTGACCACCATCAAGATAATCTTTTTCTTTCTCATCATCACCATTCGGTGGATTCTTCATCTTCATTCTCGCCATCTCCCTCCGTTTTCAACAATCTCGGCCCATCTCAGGTACACCACCTTTTGCAACCAAAACCTACCTCATCTTCCATACTTAATTTTGTTTCTAATAGCCCTTTGGACCATGGTTTTGATTTGGGTGAAATTGGGTTCCTTGACAACCAAGCAACAAATGCCAATACTTTGTTGAACAGGGAAAATGCTGGGGTTTTGGGTAGTTTCATAGATTTAAGCCATGATAATCAGTTCGAATCAGCTAATCTGTGTACCCAGGCTCAGTTATTGAGTTCTCCGGTGGTTCAGCTACCGGAGAACGGTGCTGGGTTTTCGGGTTTTCAAGGATTGGATGAGAATCCTGGAAACGCCATGTTTTTAAAGAGGTCTAAGTTGAGGCCACTAGAAAGTTTTCCTTCAGTTGGTGCACAACCTACTTTGTTCCAAAAAAGAGCCGCTTTGAGGAAGAATTCAGCAGATAATGGACCAAGTTTGGGGGTGGTTGATGGAGGAAACGTTTATGTTTCGAGTGGTGCTGAGGGAGATAAAGGGAAGCAAGAAATGGGTGAAGAGAATGAGAAGAGGAAAAGGAACGACAGAGATGATGTAGGAGATGTGTGCATTGATGGTTCAGCTTTGAATTATGATTCAGATGAGTTTACTGAGAATACCAAGATGGAGGAAACTCTTAAAAATGGCGGAAATACCATACATGCAAACGATAGTGTTAATGGAGGAGACCAAAAGGGTAAAAAGAAAGGGCTTCCTGCTAAGAATTTGATGGCTGAGAGGCGGCGTCGAAAGAAACTCAATGATAGGCTTTACATGTTGCGGTCTGTTGTTCCAAAGATTAGAAAAGTAAGAATTTTGTTTCAAAGTTTTATCTCGTGAATTCAAGTATGAACTGTTGTGTTCGTTTAGATCCTCAGAAAATAGCAAATATTCTACTTTTTTTTTTGTGTTTTTTGTTTTTCAGTGGCATTTTTGGATTATATGCGAGTCAGTTGCATCTTTTGTTCTTATATGTTCTCAAAATGCTCTGAGAAAGTTGAGCATTAATTTCTCTCACATGGAGTCTGGTTGGGTGTTTTAAATTTTCACCATAGTTTTGGACCACATTTCAGTAAATTCTTTCAATTCATCCACAAGTAAAGTTCAATAGTCGCAACCTTTTCTTATCATGTAGTTATACTTTTACATTGGAGCACCATAACTAGGAACATCCTATGTTGCACCAGCTCTTCATTTCTGTAAAACGTACACATGTTTGCCCCGTATTCGAATATGGCTACTGAAGTATGACCTTCCAGGCTGACCCTGTAAATACATTGGAAAACTTAATTTTACATTGGAGCAACATTTCTAGTAACGTCCTATGTTGCACTAGCTCTTCATTTTTGTAAATAGTACTCATGTTTGCCCCGTATTCAAATATGGCTACTGGAGTATGAACTTCCCGGCTGACCCTCTAAATACATCGGAAAAATTACTTTTACATTGGAGCACAATAACTAGTGACATCCTATGTTGCACTAGCTCTTCATTTTTGTAAAAAGTACTCATATTTTCCCAGTATTCGAATATGAATACTGGAGTATGACCTTCCAGGCTGACCCTCTAAATACATTGGAAAATTTCAAAAGAGACGTAGAGACCGGTAACATAGGACTTCTGAATTGAACTTTGAATCCAACCAAACTTGGAACAAAGAACATGTTACTTCTACTTACAAATGAAGGGTGGGTTCATATTTACTCAGTTTTGCTTCTTAGAGAGTATGATTTACATTATCCTTCTACTTATAGATGGATAGAACTTCAATTCTCGGGGATGCTATTGAATACTTGAAGGAACTACTGCAAAGGATCAATGAACTCCACATTGAATTGGAGTCAACCCCTCCTAGTTCTTCCCTGACACCTACAACCAGCAGTTTCCACCCGTTGATGCCAACTCCAGCCACCTTGCCTAGCCGTATCAAGGATGAACTTTGCCCCAGTTCGTTACTGAGTCCAAATGAGCAGACAGCAAGAGTAAGCTCATATCTGTCTAATGAGAAGTTACATCCACCTTCCAGTTATAATATATTATCAAATCAATGTTTGTTTCCAGCATACTTAATATTGTTTCTGCAATTATATCTATTTTATCCAAATTCTCCATGTTGTGATTATAGAACTTTGAATGGTATGGTATTTAAATTTGATATGTGTGTGTATAGGTTGAAGTAAGACTGAAAGAAGGAAAAGCTGTTAACATCCACATGTTTTGTGGGTGGAGACCTGGTCTTTTGCTCTCCACGATGAGGACTTTGGACAGCCTTGGACTTGACATCCAGCAAGCAGTCATTAGTTGTTTTAATGGTTTTTCCATGGATATCTTCCGAGCTGAGGTACTTTTTCTGATCCATCCTAATAAACTTCTCCTTTTGCTTAAATTTGAAACTTTGTACAAGATGTTTAAAAGCATCGGTGCCGGTGATAGCAATGGCGACGGAGACAATGAAAACCTGAACATGATCATGACATGTAAAAATAACACAAATTCAAAGGAATACACACATTTCTCTACCTGATTTCAATGTTCATCAGCTATGATTTCCTTTTAGTTTATTGAGGAAAGCACCTGCAGTTTGGTTCATTGCTTTCTACTTTACCTGGTTTTGAATGATTCACTTTTTCATTTCGACTTTTGACATAATCATCGGTGTTTGTTTCGGATTTTCAGCAATGCAAGGAAGGACAGGAGATCAATCCTGAGCATATCAAAGCTGTACTGTTGGATTCATCTGGTTTCCACAACATGATATAGAGGTTTCTTTGGCAAGGTTATATCAAAGTTTGAATCTCAGAAAACAAGGGGTTGCATTTTGTTCCAAAAGATCAAATTGTAGTAATGAGCAGCCTAGAAGCTTTAAATTAGTTTAAACAGGTCGGAAATGGTCATCGACTAAAACTGTCGGATTAACTGAAAACAGGTAATCCTTGAAAATCTTTGTTTCTGCTTTTAAATAAATTTGTGCTCTTGTCTGTTAAGCCTCTCATGCTTGAATGATTTGGAAATATATATTTTGAGCGAACTCAGTTCTGTTATGACCATCGAAACTTTAAAGACAAGTAAACATGTGGTCTTAGGTCTTACTAAAAGTGTGCATTTGAAGTTTGAACTTTGAGTGAGGGGTTACGTTCACTAGCTAATTCTCTAAGGCCGCATGGGCTAAAATCAGTGGCGAAACTTAGTGATAGAGTTTAATGGTGTCAACTTAAAATTTTAAAATTAGATGTTTAGATTAAAAGTTTTAAAAGCTTTGAAGGGTTCAGTTTGCATTTTTTTAAAGAAAAAATATGATATAAATAAAAAATTTAAATTTTGAGAGGATTAATGAGAATTTTTAAAATAATTATGGGAGTGATTTAATTAAGAATATTCAAAAAAAATTAAAATTAAAATGAATTTTTAAAAATTTTGTAGGTTTCAAATTAAATATTTTAAAAGTTTTAAAAGTCCAAACTATAATTTTAAATTTTTTTTACCCTCATTAGTCTCCATTATCTTCCCCACTTATTAAAACAGAGTTTATTTAATTTTTAATTTTTTTTACCTTAGTCTCCATTATCTTCCACCACTGATTAAAACAAAGTTTAATCTTTACTTTCTAAGAATATACATGTTACATGTGCATTCAATTTCACTGGGATAGACACCGAATTTTATGTTGGAGGTAAATTTCTTAAATTTTAAGAGAGTACAAACTTATAAATTTTCAGTATGTGAAAATATATTATCAGAAAATACATAAAAAAATCTAACATATATAATAATTCAAAGGTGATTGCTTCTGCGCATCCTTCTCATTCCGTCCATGAGTTTCACATATAATTTAAAAACATGCAATGTTATTAATTCAGTTTAATTTGGCTGGGAAGGGTCTGGATATTATATTACAAACTTTGTATCAAATCTTAAAAAAAAACATGTAATGCTTAAGAATTTGTTTAATTTAGCTTCCTCCATATATAACGGCTTTGCGCATCCAAGCTTCTTATCCCATCATTTTACAATCCATGATTCTTGATATTGCAATTGTTTTTCTTCAATGTTGAAATAAGCATAAAAATATGATTAGTTTGAACTCATGAATCTTTACTAATAGCCCTAATACTAATTTCATTCATTCAACATTGTTTTCCTTTGAGTATGAGAATAAAGATTGGAATAAAGTAGATAAATCAGGGAAGAATTGAGGGGGAGTTTGGAATAATTACATTCCCTAAAACATTTAATTTATCATATATTTTATATTTTTTCTTTATATTCTCTATTAATAATTTTTTCCCTCTAATTTTTTTTTTAAGTTTGTTTCCTCCTAAAATTTTAAAATTCACCATTTAACATAAATTTTTGCTTCCGTATCTACCCATGATGATCAACCAAATGCTCAATAATTAAGTAGTAACCTAAAAGTTTAATCCACTCTAATTTTATAATATAAAATACGAATTTAGTTAAAAATTTAAATTCATAGATTTTTATTATAATATTACTTCGGTATTTAAAAATTTACATTTTAAAAAATTGAATTAATAACAATACCAATTCTTTTAAATGGAGACACATACCCAATTAACATTGAATAATTAATTTCTTTAATATAATGAGAAATTAACGAAGGGTTCAAGGCATGTATATATGTTTTTTTTCTAGGGTAAACTACATATTTAGTACTCAAATTATTATTTTTATTCCGTTTTGGTACCTAAATTTTATTTTATTTCAAAATCATACCTAATGTTTAGTTTATGTTTCTTTTTGGTATCCCGCCATTAAAAACTTAATGGTAATGTTGATGTGTCACCATAAGGTTGTAATACCCCAAACATAAGGTCGGTGACCATAGAGGAAGGATTTAAAAAATCTGGTGGGTTAATTTAAATAAATTGAAAAGTACAAGGATTTATTTAAGAAACTGTGTTTAAGACCTATTAGTAAGAATGGATGAAATGGAGGGGCATTATGGTCTTTTAGAAGGAAAATTTTAATATTCATTTTTTATTAAAGGTTAAAGGAGGGGAAAAAGAGGATAAGTATGGGAAAATAGTTCTCTACTCTCATTCTTCTTCCCCGTAGTCTTGTGCCCTCCATAGCTAAGGTAAGGATTCTTCAATGTTGGTTTTTCCTTTCATTTTTTTTGGGTTGATTTTGAAACCTTAAGTGATATAGAGGCTTAAGGAAAGTTTAAGAAGGGTTAAAACTAAGAGATGAATGTTTTATTTGAGATTTAATAAAATGGGTTTTTAAATGATTTGATGAAACATGGTAAGTTATGGAAGTTTAAAGGCATTTTTGACTTGTCAAAGAATAAGAGATTTGGAGCCTTAGAAGTGATTAAAAACAAGCTGGAAAAATTGGTGTGATTCTTAGTTTTGAGTGTTCTTTGGGGATTTTAGATGTTATGAGAGAATTTATGGATATAATTTAGTTGGATTAAGTAATGATGATTTTAATGGTATGGTTGGGGATAAAAGTAATAGATTTAGGCGAAAATGTGGTAAAAATCGAAGTGAAATATGTAAAATCTGGGTAAAGGTATCGGTACTGGAAGAACAATACTGATACTATAGGGTTAAATTTGATGAAATATGACAAACACGATGAACAATATCAATACTTATGCAAGTAGTATCGGTACTAAAGTGGGGTATCGATACCAAGAGGAAGGTATAGATACTATTATTTAGAAATGGATTCCATAATGCAAAAATTGTATCGATACTGAAGGGAGTATCAGTACCATAGTATAGAAGTATCGATACCATAGAAAGGGTACCGATACTAATCAGCCTGGAATTTTAAGTTAGGATGAACTTTAATAGAATTCGAGAATAATAGTACTTTTGAGTATTATTACTTTGTATAAATGTTAGAAAGTATACTAATATTTTTATTGTATATGTGATTATGGATGCTTGTGCAGATCGTAATCAAGCTCCTGAATCAAGCAAGAGAAAGGGCAAGGATAAAGTTGTCGAATAATCGGACATCAGTAAGGCCTAATAGTAAGGCTTACCAAGTGAGTGCATTTATTATGTACTTATATGTTATGATAGCCGTAGATGCATGTTGTGTAATGTATATGTTGCAATTTCTGTATTTACACTATGTGTGCAACCCCACGAAATTCATAATGATTTTATGAATTTACGTATTGGCACAATGTGTGCAACCCCACGAAATTCATAATGAGTTTATGAATTTTCGTATTGCCATTATGTGTGCAACCTCTCAAAATTCATAGTGAGTTTATGAATTTTCGTATTGGCACTACTTGTGCAACCCCATGAAATTCATAATGAGTTTATGAATTTCCGTATTGGCACTTTGTGTGCAACCCCACGTAATTCATAATGAGTTTATGAATTACCGTATCGACAATATGTGTACAAAACCACGGAATTTATAATGAATTATAATATCCAATTCATATTTTGATAGTTATGATATACTTATGTTTTAAAAGTTTACCTCATTGTTATTATTCCTCACTAAGTGATTACTTAGCGTGTGTTGATTTCACTCGTAGGTATTAGTACGAGCAGAGTAAGGAGTGCAACTGACATCGCCAATCAAGGACCGCCTAATCAGTAATTGTATGAAAATTATGTCTATATTTTGATGTTATTAGCTGACATGTAATAGATTTATGACAATGCTCTAAAACGTATTTGACTTATAATAATGTAAAAATTGAATATGTTCGAACTTTAAGGTTTGTTTGTATACTAAAAGTAAATGAATATTTTTATTATTATTAAATTCAAATATTTTTACTGGTTTTTTGCAACAGAAATCTTTTAAAAGTAATGTGACATCTGTGACTTGTGTAAGGAAAAGCATTCAGGAAATGGGTGTTACATTTATTAGTATCAGAGCTACATGTTTAGCCGGTTTTCGGCCTAAACTGGGTGTATTTTACTTTAAAAAGAGTTTACATTCCACTAAGATGTCAAGGTTACTGATATGGTATAGTTAGAATATGATTGATGTCACTCTTTACTAACTTAATGTTATTATTATGTATGTTCTATGATAACTCCATAAAAGGACTATATTTTAGGTCTTTTTACATAAGTTATTGATTGTCTAAAAGCCATTGACATAGCATTTTAGCCACATATAGTTGCATTTAGGACATATTTTCATGTGGTGGATAAGTTTTGCCAAGGCAACGTTTATTTGATTAAACTAATGCTGCTGATAAGAAAGGTTGTTTGTTGATTGTGATGATACAGGAAATGACTGAGGAAAAATTTATTTTCCAAGACAAATTAATTTGATAGGGCCAATGGAACACAGAAGACGAAGACAGTGAGGAACAGATTTTCCTTACCGAGGCAACGAAAATCTTGCAAGTCTGTCGCGAATATGACGAATTGCTGACGTCACCTGCTAGCTTCCTGGTTGACCTCACAAGCAAGAAATCCCCCAAAAGTATGACAACAGCTAGCCGCCTTTCTATTTATGGATAGATAAGAAAAACGGTTATTTAAGAAACATTTAATGATATAAAACCCTAGGAAAATCCCTTTATAAATACCCAGTCAAAGCCGCCAAAAAGGGGGAGAAGGGGGAGAATCACACAGAGAAAATTCCCCAGGTTTGGGAAAAGGCGGTCGCGGCGTCCTTTTTTCCACTGCCCCTACTCGTCCGTCCTTGGTGCCCTCTATAGCCAGGCTTCGCCAGGGCGGCGACCAACCCCTCGAGAAAGGCTGGTGCACTAGAGCAATCATGGTGGTGGTATGATGTCACGACAGAGCTCTGTTCTGGGAGTTTTTCTTCCTCTTGTTCTTCATGTTTTATTTTTCTAAGGGCTTGTACT